CAACGCGACTCGATTTAAGAAGCGCCATCTCTTTCACGCCAGGTTCTCATATATTTTTTTCTTGCAAAATTGTATAAATTGAATAAGTTTTGCAATAATATTAACGAAAATAATTAATAGAATTTATAATAAATAAAAAAATTGAAAAAACACACAAATATTTTATATTATATGATTCACCAGAATAGCTTCACTTCGTGTTGTTTACGTTGTTTCTTTTGACAGATATCAATGTTTGACAAATACATATTTTCTGCACGTAACCATCTCTACATGGTCTACAAGTCAAAGCTACATATCATATAATATAAAATATTTGTGTGTTTTTTTCAATTTTTTTTATTTATTATAAATTCTATTTATTATTTTCGTTATTATTATTGCAAAACTTTTTCAATTTATACAATTTTGCAATTTTATTTGCAAGAAAAAAATATATGAGAACCTGGCGTCACATGAGAACCTGGCGACGCCGTGAAAGAGATGGCGCTTCTTAAATCGAGTCGCGTTCAAATACATTGTCAATATATAACGCAAGTGATACTCGATTTTTTCATTGCACGAATGCATTTCAATCAAATGATTTTGCGAATTTGATTGTGTTCCGGCATTTTTATAGTTGCATCATTGAAAGTAGTCCATTTATCATGTCCTAAATTCATTGACTATTATTTGTCTGGTTGAAACAGGTCATCATAGGTTTTTTATTGATTCGGCTAAAATTAATGCTGTTCATTTTTATGAGATTATAGTTTAAAACAAAAAAAAGCCATAACCCAAGAACTGACATTTTGGTGGCATGCATAATTAATTGGCACGTGCGAATATTTCAAAAACCATAAATTTTTTGCATTCGCCTATTAAACAAAGCAGACAGAGAAAATGAAAACAATTTTTGAATTCATTTTAACCGTGGAAGCCTAAAGGTAATTACATTGCATATGAAATTGGCATGGCGTTATCAATACTTTAAGCCGGGAAACTCATACCATGATGACACTTTTAACTTTTTCTATGTTTCATTATTTGATGCAGTTTTTATGGGTTTTTGCACTTTGTCTGTGCGTGTTCATCCTATGTTGCCAGTTAACAGATTGGACGTATAATCATTATACTCGTTAAAACTGGCCAATCTAGTGATTTAATTTTATGTGTTTTATTTTTTCATATATACGCATATTTTCAATTTAATGTCGATTGGTCGTTTCTCTATCATTTTTTTGGCAACTTATACCCGATTTGACAATTTAATAGTCTGAATAATAAATTTTTGTTTGGAATGAAATAAAAAAAAGTTTTACCAAGTTTTAAGACATATTAAACACCGATAACTCCCATGCAAAAATCCATATGTTTGGTAATTTCTGTATGGAAAAAGGATTTTTGGTGTTTCAATTTGAAACTTGCAAATAATGTTGATTTGCAAATCAGTAATATAAGAACAGTAATATCGCTTTTAATACAAATACATATAAAAAAATTGAAATTATAGAACGCAATTTCAAGATAGACATTCTTTGAAAATGTCAATGGTGAAAAAATTCGAATCCAACTAGAAAGTTGTGATATAAGCTAGTTTTTAATCTCAAACGCATATGATCATTTATGAGAAAAAAATCATAGTTGCAAAGATTAGAAAACGCTGCCGATATATTAATACTAGTTTAGCAGTTCCTATCAATAGTGCAAATTTGTACACATTTCGAGTGTTGTGAATAATGGTACTCTTTGCATTGCACAGAGTGAAAAAATGCGGTATATATAATTCAATTTTTAACTGAGCATTTTCTTTTTTACTGAATAAAATCTTATTTTACTGAGCATTTAAATATAATTCAAGACAATATATTGAAGACTTTTCATTTGAAATGAGACAAAATAGCACGCAATGTAGAACCGCAATGAAAAAAAAAATCATAAAAAAGAAGGATCCAAATTGCATGCTGTTAAATTCTTTGAATCTTGTTGTTTGTTCTTCGCAATTGTAAAATTATAAAATGAAAGAATAAATCAATTTTTAAATTTGTTACATTGTTTCATTTATTTATCACGTACGTATTAACCACAACGAAAAACATCATTTTTATTTAAAAAAATAATAAATATGCAAATGCATATTACACTTACATTTGGATTGCACTGTATTGCAATTGTAATCCAAACAAAACATTAGAATAATTTCGAATCAATTGTGAAAAAGAGAAACTTTAGAGAAAAATTATGCTATCGTATGAATGTGCTAAACCTGCTAACATTATCGTTTATCGAACATCACAAACTATTTCTTTGTGTTTATTCTAATTTCATTCTGGTTCGAGAGAAAAAATCTTGAATACACATCTAGATAAAGAGATTGATTTTCGAATTTTATGTATGTGTGTGTATGTGCGTGCGTAATCGATGAATTTTCCATTAAAATTAAATTGAAAATAAATTAAGATAAATACATAGTTCGTTTTTCGTATTCAACAAAAGAAAAAAAAATAATAATATCCTAATAATATTTAAATCGACGAAATCATCATATTATCACTTAAAATCTTGTTTGAGCGATTTGTTGTATCCAATCCAAGTAATGGGCAACTTTGACATAGACTCCTGGCACATTGACTTGTCCACAACCTTCATGAAGACAATGAAAAATTATGAAAATGCATTAGAAATGATTATTTTTTAAATTAATCCGTAATTTTTCATTACCTATTCCCCATGAAACAACACCGACCAATTGCCAAACACCATTTCGTTCGCACACCATTGGACCACCACCGTCTCCTTTGCATGCGTCTTTTCCTTCTTCACCACCAGCACAAATGAAACCTGGATTCAATTGATAGGTGTAGCCGAGACGAGTGTTACGCAATTGTTGTTCACATTGTTGGTGGCCAATAATGGGTACATCGACTTCCTTGAGAATGTTTTGGTATTTGCCAAAATCACCGAATGCATCTTTACCTATTTCCAAGAAGAAGAAGAAGAAGGAGAACAGCAAAGATTATTTGGGATATTGAAAATAAAATTTTAATTTAGTGCATACCCCATCCCGTTGTCCAGCAGCGTCGTCCTGTGAAGTCAGAATATCGGTCGGGCAAACAGGCTGGGCTAATATGTGGATTATTTTGGAAATCAACTGGAATGCCCAATTTCAAGACAGCCAAATCGTTGTCAAGTGTACCAGCATAGTATTCGGGATGAACATGGACGGATGCAACATCACGTTCAACATATGGGAAGAATTCGACATCGTGGTTTACATCCCACTCGCCCAAACGAACACGGAGTTCATAGCCGGAGTAACTGTTTAAATGAATAAAAAAGGTGTGAATATTTCATTTTTTTTTTTCACAAAGGCAGATATTTAATCGAATAAAGTGACTTACGTCTTTACACAATGAGCAGCTGTAAGAATGTGTTGAGCATCGATCAAAGTACCACCACACACGTAAACCGATTCTTTTGGATCCTTCTTCAAAATGGCCACCTGCCATGGATACTCACCAAATTCACTGTCGCCATCAACATAGACTGGATTCTTAATACGGCCAGTAATTCCATTTGTGTTTCGGCGACCGCATTGGCCTGGCTGAGCGAATTGTTGTTGACGTACTGGTCGTCGGCAACAAACTTGTGATGGTCCACATTGTTGAGGAATTTGATTGAATGATTGACGCTAATTTGGATTAAAAAACGAAATCACCAATTAAAACTGTTCTAATCATCAAATGAAATGCAAACAAGTGAATTGAAATTGAAATTGTGTATGAAAACATAAAGCAAAGTGAGTGTTTTGTAGTGTGCATTGATTTGTTTAGAGTTTCATGTAAAAAATAAAATGTAATATATTGAATTAAACAAAAAAAAATGAAATTAATTCGAAAAGCATAACCTGTGTGATGTATTTGTGTATGTTGATATCGGTATTGTTTTGAATATGTCCATGTGTATGTGTGGGGCGTTTCGTATGGTTTTTATTTGTTTGTTTGTTTGTATGATCAGTATTGTGAAATGTCCGTTAACACATAACAATTGTGTGTGTTTGTGTCAAATGTCGTTTCGCTAATGATCTATCTGATTCAATGTGTGTGTGTGTATGTTTGTGTTATGATTTGTTTCTGTTACCTTTTCAAGAAGTTTTGACTTTGGAGCGATTGATTCGTTATTTGTGTCGATGTCACTGTTAGCATTTCGTTTGCGTCGATTGCTTGGAAATGAAACGGATTGTGTACTTTGTTTTTGAACCGTTTGCCCAGCATCGGCATTGATTGCCTTTGCTTGTGCAAAATTTTGTGATTGTTGTTGATTATAATTTGCATAATTATCGGCATATGTATCAACGGCATTTATCGAACTATTTGCACTTCGGCCATAGTAAGTGCTTGGTTCAAATTGGTTGAACGATGGATCATTTGTAAGACTTGATTCGATATTGTTATTATTATTGTGATATGAATCATGATAATAGCCAGGGCTGCTGAATCCATAGTCGCCGGCATATCCGGTTGGATAGTAGGCGGGCGATGGTCCAGTTGGATAATGCGGTGAATGCTCGAAATGTGGTCCGCTTTCAAAGTGTGGCGGTCCTTCGAAATGCGGTGGTCCACTTTCATAATGATGTGGATGATACGATGGTGCCGGATAATGTGTATGCGTATGATAATGTTGATTATAACCTGGTGAAACGCCACCGCCACCGCCGCCAAATAGGCCATACTTTTTGGCCTTGAATAAATTGCCCACTTTGTTGATAATATTTTCATTTGGCGTCACATGCAGATTTACTAATGGTTTGAACGTTTTTTCGCCGTATTCATTTTTTGCAAATTGAAATGATACCAATGGATTGACATTAACCAAGCCAAGATTCAAACCATTTGGACTGATCGATCCAAAGTATGGATTTTGAGCTGGATAACCGCCATTGAATGTGTTCAACGGATAGCCACCAGTTGGATATGGCAGACCAAACGAAACACCGAATTGTGGTTCAACTTTTTTCTTCGTTAAACCAACGCCAACCCCACCAAGTCCACCAACGCCAATGCCAGCTGCTGAGCCGCCAAGACCAAATAGTCGCTAAAACGACGAAACCACATTACTTTTTTTGTTTGTATGCATCGATTTTTGTATTTGTATTTTGATTTGAGTGGTGAGTAGTTTGATGTTTGTCGCCGTATATTGTACGAACAAACGGCAATATAATCATATTTATGAAAATATGAGCAAATAATTTTTCGTTTAAATTTGAATTTTAAATTGAACGTGCTGTTATGTATGTATTACAGGATTCTACGAACTGAAGAATGATCAGTGACAATGCAATTACATTTATTATAGTAAATTACTTTCAACATTTTTTTTTACCAAACATAAAAGAAATATATAAATAAATACTTTCGACTAAATTCGATGTGATTTACTTCCATACCAGCGAATATGAGATATACATAAAAAAAAATTCATACAGAACGACAACATAATGAAACATATAGTTATTGAAATTGGTTTTTAGTAAATTGTCTAATTTCGATGGGCACAAAAAAAATAACAAACAAAAAGAAATGAAAAGACATAGAGAAAACATTGGTTTTGATGTGTGGAAATGGATGGTTTGTTGTTGGACGATTTGTGGTTTGGCAGCGCGCTAATTTGCATTTCTACATAGAAAAAATCAATAAATGTGCAGCATTGAAACATATACACGACGATATGATTACGTACGAATTGCATTCGTGCTAGGCGAAAAAAAACATACACAAAACAAAATCGGTTGGACTCTCGGTTGGCTTTGGCATTGAATTTGTACAAACATATATTACGATACAGTGTATTTTTTGCATTTTCCCCGTACGTTTTGTATTTCCATCAACGCTCCAAATCAAGATTTAAAAACAAAAAAAAAAAAAACGAATCAACATGTCTACAAAAAGAAATATCATCGCGCCACTTCTATAGAAACATACTGTGTGAAAATGGATTAGTTGCTGTGATTTGAGTGCCATTTTGAAAACAAAGTGCATTTGCAAAGGAGCTCAAAATGTTTGTGTGTTGTGCGTTGTGTGCGGTTATGTCTTGTTGCATGCATGCATATTTATGCTTGTAATTTAAATGCCATTTAACGTAAGCACAATGAAAACTATTTTCATCTTCAATTATATAGAAATTGTCAAATCCAGCCCATTTAAAATGCAAAAGCTCTTTTTTTTCAATCTCACTGAATGTTTTGTTAATTCATGCATTGAAAATGAAATGAAATGGATCCGTACACAAATTAGACATAAAGATAGTTAGAAAGAAAATACAAATTATTTGAATACTTACAGCTTCACCATCAGATTTTTGTAATTCATCCGATTTCTTTTCGGCAACTTCACGTTTTGAAATTTTCTTCACATCTTCTTGTGTTGTTTCAATTTCAATGGATTTGTTTTGTTCATCATCGTCAGCATTGCTTTCATTGTCGTTGATTTGCTTTGGAACACGGTTTACGGTTGAGTTTGACGTTGAGTTTGATTCTTCGGAGAATGCTTCGATGTCTGAGCCCAAATTACGTGGATCAAGTGGTAAAATTAAATCGCCTTTTCGACCCAAAACATCACGTGCCGGGCATTGATCATATGGAACACAAACGCAATCTAAATTATCTTGACGTGAAGCTTCTTGATAATTGGCACCAGAACTATAGAGACCACCGTATGATGAGCCGCTGCCGCCGCCGCCGCCACCACCATATGAACCACCATTCAACGAATTAATTCCAGAGCCACCTTTCAATGCTTTCTTGTAATAGTCGGGGTTCGATGAATGGAATGAACCTGAACCGAGTGAATTCACATTTCCAAAGCCTGAAGTGCCGAAACCAGATGATCCTGGGCCCGAACCATCATAGTTGCTAACACTTTCGAAAATTGGCTTTGTGCCGCTACCGTACGATGATCCCGATGGATTAATTCCATTGACTGAATTGAATCCATTGAAACCGGATTGTTGTTGTTGCTTGAACGATTGATAGCCAGTAGACAGTGTATTGTAACCACCGCCATTATTGAAACCGCCTCCATTGTTGAAACTGCCGCCTTGATTTGGACTGTATTCACCTATAATTTGAAAAAAAAAAAAAAACAGAAAAAAGTGTCGTCAAAAAATGTTCGTTCAGTGTAAGAAAATGAAAAATCAACCAACCTGTGGCCAAAGGTACTGATGGAACGGGCACTGGAATTGGATTGTTTACAATAACCGCCGGTGCTTTTACATTATCATGAGTGTTTGCAGCTCCGTCAATATGATGATAATGATGATGAATATTGACTGAATTTGAACCGCCTCCGGTGATTCCGTCGTTGATCGATGTCTTTACTGGTCCTTGATCGCTGCTCAATCCAAGTGCATGGAATTCTTCATTCGAAAGAATGTGTTCATTGTGCGAATCAAATTTGTATGGTGGTGAATCGATGATTGGGCCTGGTGGTTTTGAGTGGTAAATTGGACCGGAAATTGGACCCTGATAACTTGGACCGCTTGGTTGTGAACTGATGAACGGCGCTGAGCTGTAGACAGGTCCTGGAGCATAGCCAACTTTACGTGGTGGTCCGAATTGTTGCTGTTTAACAATGCCCGGTGGCATTGGACGTGGTGCACCATAAATAATCTTTGTTGGTGGTTTTTGTCCACGATATGGTCCATTTGGTGGTTGTGCATAGATTAATTCTCCCGGACGTAAGAAAGCATTTTTATGATCGATATCACTGCCGCTTGCACCTTCGCATTGCATCAAACCCAATGTACAGAGTTTGTCTTTAATGAGATTACGTGCTTGTGTGTCGTCACCCTTTTGAAGTGCATCTTGAACAGTTGGATCGCTGTACACTTCATCGAAACCATCCAAATTGCGACCCTGGCGAGTCGATGCCAAAATTGAATCGATCAAATCATCGGCGGTGTAGGCGGCCGTATCATTTTGATTATATTGATTGTACTGTTCATTTCCTGCATTCGATTCGATGTGATACTGATGATTTACTTGACTTGCCTGTTCGGAGTTCGTTGACCACGAAAATAGTCTGCCATGATCATCGACTGCATAGACTGCAGTGGCCAATAACAATACCCACACCGTATTCATAATCGGTTTATTTTTGTGTTTTACTTACTTTTGTATTTCTTTCTAAAAAAAATAAAGAAAATATAAATCGCTTAGATTAGTATCATAAAATCGACAACGAAGGAAGACAAAAAAAGATCGAATAAATAATGCAAATTTTTATATGCGATATAGTATTGTGTGCTCTGCTCAAAATCCACATTTTCATACACATTGAATTCAATTGGTCGCATGATGTAATCCAAAAGAAACGGTTTAATATTACATTTTGTTTTTATCTCAACAGACCAAACATCTACAAAGCAAACGAATAAAGGCAGCAAAACAAAAAAAGAAAGTTCCGCTTTTTTGCATCGCTTGAAAGTAAAAGTAAAATGCACTTCAAAAATGTTATTCCAACAGAATCGCAATAATTGAATTATATCAGCCGTTGAGATCACAATGGATTTATACTCTTTTTTTTGCGGTACTCTGTGTGGGCTTGACCGCATTTTTGCTATTCATGTTATCATATTTGGATCCATTCAATTGAAAATTAGATGTAGATATCCACCTACAATCTTTCGAATTTATGCCAACGGATCGCAGATTGTTTTTCCAAAGTCATTTCGCGTTTTCACTTTTTTACTTATTTTGCCGTAGAAAATGTACAAAAAAAGCAATCGTCAAAAAATGGAAAGAGAGAAAAAGCTTCTAATTGCTATTTGTAGTACCAAATTTGCGATTTCCTTTGCTGGAAGTTACAGCTTTATATTCAAAATATTGCAAAAGTGTTTGGCACACCAAAGAATGATCGCGCACGACAAATAAAGTTGTCGCTAATACATGCAATGAACAACAATAACAAGACGCACACAATTTGTGACACAACAAATTCATTACAGCGTTTATTGTGTCGTAGTTTCTAATTATCTAATGAACATGCAATAAAACGTCACATTGAACTAAAAATGGCCAATTTACATTTGTAAAATGGACAGACAACTTCCCGAAAGTGGAAAGCCGTGTAGTCTTTTTTTCTGTTGTTGTTTCTTTCGTGAGATAAAAATTAGTGGCCGGATGATTATTTTCATTGTTTTATGTTTGCTGGTTTTTGGGTGAATACGTGCTGTTCAAACTCATTGTTTGCGAGAGTGAGAAAAGAAACAAAAAAAAAATATGAAAGTAAAAGTTTGGCTGCATCACGATGCCGTCATCTTGATGCAAATGAATCCACACCAAAATAAAATGGAAATAAAAAAAAATTCGTCAAAAATGTGTCGCAACGATGACGCATATGCTTGATAATAATTTCAATCTCAATTATTTTACAGCTATACTCATTTCTGTGTCAGCACAATATACTCGTGAGCCATGCAATTACACAGCAAAAAAAAGAGAAGAAAACATATAAAAATGACATCATAATCATCAATCACTCATAATTATAATTCTACATGCTATAATACTTTACGACAATTTATGGTGTCTAGCATATCAATGTCGGTTGAAATATGCTTGATACGGTGAATTTGTGTAACGTATATCCATATCTGTGTACGATCTTCAGCATTATCTTCACGATAAACGGTACTGAACCGAATCAAATGAAAAAAATCTTTGGTTATTGCTGTTACCTTTTATGCTATGGTGCTGAGTACATATGGCATCGGATCGAAATAAGAGAAAGTGGAAGTATTTATTTATCTTACGATCAGATTCAATGTTGAATAGGTTAGTTATGCCATAACAAATGGAATATGTGTGTGCGTGTACATGTCAACAAAGAGCGAACACGTGCGCAAATGAAGAAATCATGCGAGCTAAACAACTCGAGCAGTACGAATGAAATGCGAGAAAGAAACTTGCCGAGAATACGCGTTCAATTTCTTTCCAAGGCTAAACGAAACAACAAAGACTTTATTTTATTGACACATCGTTTCAACGATCATCATGAATCAACATTTGCTAAATTGCCGCATTGATACTCAAACACATACCGAAAATCACACGGTAAACAAATACAGATAGGTGTTAATTTCATTTTGCCTATGTTTATGTAACATACGTGAAAATGTCATAATACTTCGGTAATCAAAAATATAAACAAAAATGTAAAATAACAAAGCGATAATTTATTATGCAAGCTCATCATCGACTTCGAACGAACGCCGAATTTCAAATGAAAACGTGATGGAAATGCTCCCGAAAATGCAATAAAATTGAATTTAAATAAAACGATCAAAGCAAATTCACCTATTCGAACGAATGGCATTAACCAAAACAAAGATGACTAATTCAATAGCTTATTGAATCATTTGAGTTGTTGATATTTTTAGAGAATATATGCATAGAGGGAGAGAGAAATGTCGATGGCTTTGCATACATTTTACTATCGGTTTTGACTAACTGTAATTTAAGCGCCACAAAATAAACGAAAATCAAGATGACTCATTTAAAAATAAATTTCTATCCAATCTGGTATCACTTCGATATGAAGATACCAAACCAACAATTTTAACTCTAGAATTTGATAAATTCGCATTTTTCAATCTACATTCTTCAATTTAGAAAAAAAGATGGTATGATGTGAATATTATGTAATAAAGTGCACACTAGGAATCTAAAACAAACACTCTATATGATTTTTGAATTTGAATCACTCACGAAAATTCTCGCCGAACAAAAACTAAGATCTGTTTCGGTTTTCTTTGTTTTTAATGAGTTAACGGTTGAGTTCCGTTGTCTTTTTACTTCCGTTGATTTGAAAATAAACGTTTGTTTGGTTCGTTTTATTTACTTTTCGGAGATAACCAGCGGTTTGGATATCTCACAACTGACTGTATGTAAAATAACGAAATGTACGTGCATTTATAGATTCCCACCCAAAACAAAAACGAAGAGAAGAAGAAAAAAGTCATCACCAAGCCGGAGGAAGAAAAAAGTAACAAAGAAATAAGACGAAAACATAAAAATGTGCCTCATTTCACTTAAGTTCACTGTTTTTGCATCTCCTCTTCGTGTGTATTTTAATGCGCCTCACTCTTTCCAACCGCTGTTGTTTTTGGGGCTATGTATGCGGTCGCGCTTGCACTCGCATACATGTCATTTTTTTTTACTTCTTAATTCACAGACGGCGACATAAACGGCGCGTAAAACACTTTCACTATCTTTGATCTGCTCTTTTTTTTTGTTTTTGCGATGATGATGATGATTATTAGTGATCTTGTTGCTCGGTCTTATGGATTCGAGTCAAATTCAAACTTCATAGAGCCATGCAATGATTAAAATCTTATTACTGCACTAAAAATTCGATGATTGCATTTTGTTTTTGTTTTAACTCAACTCTCGATACATACCAATTTCTTTATGTATTACACTTTACACCTTAATAATTTGCTTCGTTTGAAAATACCACTGCTGCAAAATAATTTAATTGGCGCGTTTGCAGTTAACTCATGTGAGATTCGTAATCGACTGATATCAATCGCATTGACAGCGCTTGGTTTTATACAATTTCGATTTTATTTGAATACATTATACACATTTTTCGCGATATAGACGCCTCAGAATTTGGCCCTACCATTTTTTACGTTTCGGCCAAGCCACACGCACAATGTTTTTCATTTGTTTTCGTTCGTTCGGTTTGTATGCACTGCGTGTATATGCGATTTTTTTCTAAGCGTACCGGATTTTTGTGGGTTTTCCACGTTTTTAAGGTTACACAATTTTTTTGTGGATTGATGTTATAATGCATACGTATACATCACATACTCATGATGCTATCGAGTTGTGTAGTAGATACGTTTCGTTTCATTTACGTTTTCGATTTACGAGGTGCAAACGTTCCGAAGGAAAAAAAAAGTCTGTCAATGTCGGTGGAATAACCAAACAAATTGCCCAACTGTAAAAATGCTTCGTTTAAATCATATATCATTTCATTTGAGCACATAAACCGAACTTATTTTCGGCGCTCGTGATTCATAGCTGCGTGTGACACAATACAAAAGAAAATGAACGCCGATTTTGAGAGGTTCGTCGCTTGTTATTAGATTTTTTGTTTAGAAAAGCTCAGTTTCATAGAAGAACATGCGCGTATTCATGTTTTTTTCTCGGAAATATCAACCCTCCGTACAAATGATGTTGCCGTGCACAATGTATGCGTATATTGTAATTTTTTAGATTTTCCATTGAATCAATGCAATTAACGCCTCTTGACATGACCAACCGGACAATAGAAATTGTGTCATTATATATTTCTTTTACATGGAATCGTGTTAATGTGTTAATACACTTTCAAAGTTTGTTTGAACTACAACCACAACAAAATTCAGTGAAATTATATTATTTAACCAGAAAATTCTCAAATGCAAACTAATTGGCTTTTATTCTGGCACAAATCATCTATTTATTTAAATTCAACTATTTAATAATGTTTTCGATTCTTTCGATGTTGGGTTATGCGCAAACATTTGATTTACATAAATATATATCTTGCAAAAAAAAAAAAAAACGTTTTGAACATTCGAATTGTAAATCGGTCGATTGGGCGTAAAACTGTGTATGTGGATTTGTCATAATCGCAGGATTGACATCGAAAATGAAAGTTTCGCGAATGACTTCCTCAATGTTGGTTGTGCAAAATGAATTCGATCGTTACCAAAATTGGAGCGATATTGCCGATCCAGCCATCACAGACGATCGAAATAAAAACGACATTTATCTCTAATAAAATCTTCTTTTCTTTGTGAATATTATGCAATTTCGCATCATCTAATGATCAGAGAAATTCGTTAATTTCACATGCTATTTTTGTAGTGCGATGAAATCAAAATCGACTTAATTGCCATGAAAATTATCTTCCGTTTTCGGCGTTTGTTTATGTTATCGTAACATAAAAATCGGCAAAATGTTACACATACATGCAAGATATGCGTGAACCAAGCGTAAAGTTACTACGCACAGTGTTTTAACTATAGCATGTAGAATTGCTGTCAATGCTGCCAAATAAAGTGTGTTCACCGACACAAGATTAAGTAATCGCTTGTGATCTTTTTTTTGCGAGACGGTTCCTTTCTGTTATTGGCTCTTAACGAATCGGCAAATTTCACCTTTTCACCATCAAATGGACCAGTGTCGCACAATGTGAATTGTAAATCCAACGGAAACAAATTTTTCAAATGGTTATCTCTTTCTTGGATCAAAATGATAATTGGAAATGGTTACCTCATTTCTGCGGTTGAATGTTCACCATACAAAATTATATTCATTTTTTCCATTCATAATAATTGTTGCGTGTATTAAATGTGCATTTAGTTCATTCGGTGCATATCTATTCATTTTATGCGCACATACACGCCCAAAAACTTGAACAAAACAAAATTCACATCGATTTCAATTCATGTTTTTTTGATTTCTTTGTAATGCGGCCCATGCATACTTTTTGCGCTTTTGTTTTCTTCTTCTTCTTCTTCTTTATCGTCGTCGTCGTCGTTGAATTCTCAATTCCATAAGTAATTCACCTGGCAAGCCTTGGGGTTTTCCTAAACCATAATTGAAACAACGACGTGTCAAATAGCTTGTTGAACGATTCGCCTGCTGATTTTAGCTTATAAAATAATTTTCTATGTGAGCTTTTTATTCCATACAATCATGCTTGGATTCATTACATAATTCAGAATAGAGTGAGAGAGAAATGAAAACTTTTGTATACGATTATGGCATACGGTATATTTTACACTATTATTGACCCAAATCTCGAAACGGAAAACCATTGAAATGTTGGAATTTCCAAGTCTTTATGCCGTTTTTTTTTCTTTGACTCTGAAATTGTGTTAGTTGGCTCATAATTTTTCATTGATCTATTATATCGTTGGAATTTCCTCGATTTGAAATAATTTTGATTTTATTGTAGAATTTGGCAATTAAATTGATGCCATTTAATTTTTTGACATTTGTAAATTGGCGTTATTAAGGTGTGAACGCAACATTTGTTATCGTAAGAATAATACACGTTGTGTTTATGCAATGATTGGAGCCGTAATGATGCTTTAAGTAAAACATAATATGGAAGTAAATGTTGTGTTAACGAACTTCCGGTCGGGAAAATACGCGTCCACAATTGCATCGTCAATTTTCTATGGCTTTTTTTTCGCTTGCTTGCCCACTGCGATCGTCAATCTTTTTTCACGGTTTTACGTAAAACGCTTTTCCATTCAAACATTTTTGCATTGCTGATTTTTGTCACAAGTGAAAGTGCTATGTATGTGAACTATTGGTAAATATAAATCTGATAGAACTACACTTTCCACCTTTTAAGATTGCCATCAACGCAATTAAATTGTACCTCTTATGTGCCAAGGAAAACATAAACAAAAGAATGAAAACGAAAGAAGAGAGTGAATAACATGGATTTATTTGCAAATGAAATGAAATAAAACAATTTCCAAAGATGTGGAGAAAGACGCGCGCATTGTGCTTGACTATCAAACCGAAGAAATACAAAAGTATTGTGTATGAATACAGATCGTATTGCAATCCAATCTTATAAGATTGAACGAATGTTAATTCCCATTCCAATGTAGAAGCAAACAAGAAACAAGTCAATAAGTCAAGGTTTTGCATCATAATATAGAAAAATCTCATTACACTTAACTGGCTGTCGTATCGAAATGGAAATGTGAATTTCTTCGGAATCGCAGAAAACAAAACCAACAACCAGCCCGAACCAGCCATTGTAAGCATGTATACATAGTCGTCGCAAACAAAATTCAACTGTACGTAATAGAGTTAAGTGGTCATTTACCTTTTGTGCGTTTTTTTTACATAATTTATTCGTAGCAAAGCGGCTGAGAGGTGAAAAATGTAGAAACATAATACTTCAAATGTTAAACCACTGTCCGGTTCTATGTTTTTATGTGATGTTGCTCTCGAGAAAGAGAATCAAATTCGAATTTCTCAACATGGTTTTTCTTGCGTAACTATATTTAGTTTCGTATTTAATGTTTGCAGCGCATTCAATTCGAAATGTATTGCGTAAACGATTCATCACGATTAGTAGATTGGTTCTTAAGAAGAAAATTCTTGATTGAAATCTTAATACGCAATTGCTTCAATCCATAGAAGAATCCGGACCCAACCAAAGCGATTTCATCACTATTTATCATCAGTCTAAGTCATAAAAGGTGAACAATAAAACCAGAATCAACTTTTTCGAATGTGTTTTTTGTGTGCTTGATTATTCGATTGCACAGCATCTTTTATGTGCGCAGGTCGAGAACATTTGTGATCGTAATCGTAATTATGTAAACGAAAAAAACGCAATTTATTTTGGAAGACACGAATATTTCAAAATCGAGATGATTCAAGCCATAATATAACATTGAAATGAGCATCGAACGAAATTGATCAATTGTTGTTATGTGCGTAAGCGATTATAACACGGATCCTTAGGAAATTGATGGTCTATTTGCATTATCCGCATTTGAATGGTGTCGCCGAACAAGAAATGTGACTGTAAATAGACAAGAGATTGCGACAACATATACAATCCATTTAACGTCAGATGACTCATTCAAACTTGTGCCATGCAGTTATTGTATTTCTTTCGATCACGACTTTTGTTTCTGATATATTTTATTTTTTGTTGTCTCTCTAACACTTTTCGGTACAACTCGCTTGTAAATTGGTAACGCGTACACAATATTATTATTATTTTTTGCATAACACACAACTACACAATACGAACCAAACAAAATAATTCACGATCGCGATTTGCAAATCCAGTAAAATATAATAAAACAAAAATGAGTATAATGCGTCATACGGCGAAAAAAAAATCAT